CGTCCACCAAGAGCACTCAGGTCCTCACACAAGTTCTTTTAAAAGAAGTGTTTCTATTTTCTACTGAATTTCAGGGTTAAAGAGCTGATACAAATATAACATTTTGTAAATTTGGCGCATTTCCTCATTACCTCTTTGTTGTTTATAGAACCTTTATCCTAACGACCTCAAACTAAAACGGCCCACTGTCCACTCCTGGTAAGAAGGATACACAAATGGCAGACTATTTCTACAGAGGAAGTCTGCACAGCAACAAAAAGGAATGCACGGCTGCTGATGCGACAGTGATGCTGCTCCTACATATGTCCTTTTACATTAGTACAACACATGTTTGCAGAGTAAAACAAACACCTGTAGAGTTTGGAAACCCATGAGACTAGAATTCTCTGTGTTTTCAGAATGTGTCTGAATTGAAGTGTGAAAGTTAAACGTCTCTTCCATGGGCTTTTACTAACCCATCAAGGCCTACGTCCCAGCCCCACACCAGGTATCTGGCTAGTCTAAGGCCAGATACCTTACACGAACATGCCATGTCATAATTACCTATGCATGTTCCATGATGTAAACACACTGCTGTTAGAGTCGCTGATACTTGGGGGGAGGGAGGGGGGAAGAAGGGGAGGGGGTGTCTCTGAACTGTCCCAGGTGCCCCCTGCTTCAGGACTGTCGGCCCAGTTACCAGTGCAGGCCCCACCTCGAGGCCCGCCTGGAGAGCAGGGTCACTGCAGGTCACCGCCAGCCTCCTGCCCACAGAGCCGCACATCGGCTGGAAACGTTCGGTGCCATTCCTTGGCGCCCGCTGCTCACATGCCATACCTGCACCATCAACCCTGCGGCCCCGTCCCTGCAGGCTGTGCACCGAACACCCTGTTGTCTAATTCTATGTGACTGTGAACAGCACTCGCAGGAGGACGCAGGAGAGGAGACACTGCTGTTCTGGAAGCTCTTTGTTCTCTTTCGCCCCAAAGCAGTCCCTGGGGAGGCACCCATGTTAGACCCCTCTCCCCCTGCTCCCCAATTCACGATTCGGAGGAAGGAAACAAGCCCGCAAGCTGAGACACGAGTGTGGGCCTTCCAACCGCACCCCGATCCGGGAGCCCTGCCACTCACACCAGCTCCTTCCGTAACTGTGACACTCCCCACCATCAGCACGGGTCCGAGTGCGGAGCTTACGGCAGGAAGGGGTGGATTTGAAACCCAGTGGCCCATGAACGAACCCCATTTGGCCACCTACCTGGCCTTTGGCAACCAGGGGAGTGACGGGTCCTGTGAGACAGAGGGGGTCACTGCCGGGGGACCAGAGGCCACGCCTCACTCACAGGCCCAGTCACCCAACAGTGGACACAACACACTCAGCTCCCTGCTCTGTCGATATATAATCATGCACACAGGATTGCCACATTTGTATATAATTGTATATAATAAAAGCCTAATATTCAAATTGACCAATCTGCCAATGACTAGTCACTGATAATGTGCACTGACCACCAGGGGGCAGACGCTCAATGCAGGAGCTGCCCCCAGCCTGCAGTCCCCAGGCTGGCCAAATGGGTGCCAGTGCCCACCCCTTCCCCCCCATCATCCCACTGGTCGCCCCGCAGCGGGAAGTGACCAGTGATGGTGGCGGGGGATGGCACCAGAGAGCAGGCAGCACCAGGCCAGACAAGGAGGATGTGAGTGAGGGACCCCAATCACCCCCAGTCACCCCGCAGATGGACCCCGATTGCCGGCCAGGCCTAGGGACCCTACCTGTGCATGAATTTCGTGCACCGGCCTCTAATATCACATAACAACAGACACACGCCATACTGCAGATGTACAGACGGCCGTGCGATCATCATGGCCGCCTACTTTACTGCCCAGGTGCCGCCAGCCTCGGGGGAAAGGTACGTTACCTCGGATTGTCATGCCGACCTGACAGGAAAGGCCTTTCCTCACCCCTCGGTGTGACGAGAATGTGCACATTCAAGGAGGTGACAGGATGGCCTGAGCGCATCTCTTCGGGCTACGGGTGCTGCTCTCTATCCCGCCTTTCAGCTCCCACCCCAGGCTCCTCCGCTGAGGTTCCTTTCAAACTGTGGCCTCCTAAAACCTGGGCACGTGCTGGTCATAAACAGAACCGCCCAGCCATTCCTCCCCGGGCGGAGACCGGGCGCTGGCTGTGTATTTGTGCCCCGGGGCCCTGTGGAAGGGGACCGCGGGCTGCAGGGCCCTGGAGACGCCTGCCCGCCCGCCCTGCTCGCCCCCGGTGACTGCCTGCACCCTGGCGGGGCCCTGGCTGCTCAGCTCTGCTCATCTTAGAGAAAGTCCCGGACATTCCCGAGGACAGGAAAGCACAGGTGGCAGTGGGGTCGGGCTGACGCTGTGCTTCCAGGGACGGACAGGACAGGCCGTGGCACCCGAGGAGCGTTCTCTCCTTCGCCCTTTTTCTCTCCCTGTCACTCACACCCGGTCTCGTTCTCGGAAAGGTTCTGCTGTGGGGCTTGAGAGAAGAGTGTTTGAATCTGAATTTAACAAGGTGCTGATTTGCACGGGAGAGGAGAGGGGAGGCGAGGAAACACAAGTGTGTGAAACTGTCCTCACACACACTGATACGGAAGATCAACGTTCCTTCTGATGTGACACGCTGGAGACATCTCCCGTCGTGTTAACTGTAAATACAGATGTCTGTACGGAGCACAGCTGCCTACATAAAACAGGTATGGATGGTCCTGTGACTACGAGAGAAATATCCATCATCAGAAAACAGGGCTTATTAAAATGCGATTAGAGCTAAATGATCTGGACAGCGAGAAGACCACCGTCCTGGGAAGCTCCTGCCATTAGCTCCTGTCTCTGATCACATGGCCTCAGCATCGCAGCTGTGAGCCCCGGGTTCTAACCCGGCCCTGGAGACAGAGCCACGCCGTCCTGGCAGGTTTCCGGAGGAGGAATGAGGCTGAAGCTACTATTGTTTCCCCTCCAACTCAGGAAGATGTCATCCGGAAACAGCTGGATGCAGAGTTCCCGGTGCACGCGCTCAGAAATGTCCCACGAGGATCAGGCGTGTTTGGGACCAAGGAAAGCTACGGGGTACGCTCTGAACGGCTCAGGCCGGTAACATCCAAACCGGGATGCCTTCCTCAGGCACTCACTGCCGCTAAGCACGGGAGCATGTGCGAGGCAAGGGCCTTATACCGGGTGTAAGGGGAGGGTGCAGAGACTGAGCTCCAGGGACATGTCCGTCCATCTGTGGCAGCGGCACTGCCTCTTTTTGATATTTCCTGGAGGGGGTGGGGGGGGAGGTGCTAATTGTACTCTGAAAGTCACAGTGCTGCTTCTTTTTACACATGGATCTCAGTCCCAGATCCCAGTGCTGTGGCAGGGAGGGGCCTCCTGGCCGGGGGGAAAGGGGTGGCACCGAGGAATGTGTATGTGGGGGGAAGCTGGGCACGGGGCAGTGGGAGAACGGGAACAGGATGTGAATCACAGGGCTCCGTGCGGGTGATGGGGAAACCACTGGAGAATGTTCGCTGCAACTGTGGGTGGCTGTGCCTGATTCTTCCAAATCAGTACTATCTCCACTCTGTCATCGCCAGCTCTCTCGCATCATCTCTATCTCTATCATCTCTGTCTCTCTCATCTCTGTCTCTATCTCATTTCTGTCTCTCTCTCTCTCTCTCTCTCTCTCTCTCTCTCTCTCTCTCTCGTTAATTAGATCTATAATGGATGTCCTTAGGGTTTTCTTTATGAACCATAATTAAACAGTATGCACATGCGGACTCATTCCATAACTCCCTGGATATCTGGTGCCGCCGTTCAGAAAAAGACAGTTCTGAATCAAGAGTGCCGACAAGTACTTTCCCTCCAGTCAAAATGCTGCGACTCAGACTTGAGTTGAGGCCTGAGACACAGCCACTGACCCCGGCTCCTCTCTGGGAGGGTCGACCCTCTGCACGCCGCGAGGGCCCAGCACGCAGGCTCCGGGGTGGCGATCAGCACCCGCCTCGGACGTGCCGAAGCCCCCCAGCCCCGGGCCCCGCCACTGCATTCAGGGACCAGTCACAGGCTGCTGCTGAGGACGCCTGACGAAGCGGACTCGGAAGGGAACTTTAGGAATAACACAAACACGCTGCCTCCGAAGACAGGACGGGCGGGGGAGGGGCCCTGCTCTGGGTTCAGGGCTGGTTTCTGCGTCAGCGAGAGGATCGCTGGAGACAGTCGGACACGGTCCCCATCACCCACCGGCTTCCGCCCGTGGACAGCGGCTGTGACCGGCGCTGACAGGCCCTGTGCCGTGAAGTGTGCAACTTCAAGGTCAGCGACGTGAAAGGAAGCCACGTTCTCGAAGGGTCAAGAGGGAGAAAGGTCGCTCACACCGCCGTGGGCCGACGCGGGCCCGTCCGGCCGAGAGGCCCCGGCCTGCAGACGCTCTGCCGGGCCAGGCAGGTCCCCAGGCCCCGGTGCTTGCCCCGGCTTCCCCCAGTGACATTTTCAAAAGCAAATGGAGCAGCACATGTATATTTCACACAGCACTCACCACCACCCACAGCCATAAATAATCTATTGTTCTACTTGTTTCAGAAATGGAAGACATCTATTAACGCGCTCCGAACCACCCGAGCCAGGATTTAATAATATTGCTTTAAAAATTCATCTTAAATCAATAAAAACCACAGTTTTAACAGGAAGCACCGAAAGGCGGGATTGCTACCCAGAGAAGGGACACGCTCAAGGGCTACTAATGTATTCCGAAAACTATGGAACACACTTTACGACTTAATTACTGGGAATCACCGCGTTGCTCCGGAGCCTCTGTGCGGCTGAGCAAACAGCCGTGCAAGGACTGAGAAACCGGGCGGCTCATTTGCGGGCGGCCCCAGGGAGGGGGGGGGGGGAGGGGACCATTCTATCTGCAAAGGATGTTGCTGTCGATGCCACCTCGCAGCGCGTCGCTGGTGAGCCGGCCTCCACCCACCCCCTCCTCTGGACCGAGGCCATCGGCTCCCGGGGTCACTCACGGTTCATGTTCTTAAAGATGTTCATGATGGGCAGGATCTGGCGGTAGTAGGGCACCAGGGCCTCGCCCACCATGTCCGCCGACACCACCAGGTGCTGCAGGACCTTGAGCGTGACACAGATGACCTGCCGGTTCCGCAGGTTCAGGGCGTCTGCACGGGAGGGAAGGAACAGGCCAGAATCAGAAGCACGGATTCCACAGCCACAGGGCGAACCGACCGGCAGGCCGGTTACTTACGCTGGACTCTCCTGGGAGTCACCGGGGGGGACGAGCCTCATCATTACAGCCCTAGCGGCGTGCTGCGGGCTTAGCACCTTAACCAGCATCTTGCTGGTTCGAACCATCAAGATTCCTTTGCATCCCTACAAAGGGGCTCATCGTCTCTCTCGGGAGCGGCGGTGATGGACAGGTGGCACCAGAGAAGGCCAGCTAGTGTCTCGGGAGTGAAAGGACCTGGGGAGGCTGACAGCCGGTACATTTCCGGTTAACAAGCCACACTACCCTGAAAACCAGGAGACAAGCTCGATCTGGGAAGGGCGCCTGGGCCTCTGTGTGATAGAAATCACACACTGGAGACAAACACCGAGCATGTTCTTAAAAGAGGTGAACGCAAGCCGACTAGGTCTTACACTCTCAGGAATGCAGGGAAGGAAAGCAGCATTCAAATGTTTAGGACGTTAAAGGAATCGCCCGTAAACAACTACAGGAGACCGGAGAGCTGGCCAGAAAGAACACCTCCGAGAGCACAGACAGGCGCCCGCGCAGAAGGACGGGGCCGGAAGGTGCCAGGTGCTCCCTCCAGCAAGGAGGTGAGAGGCTGGGACCAGGGCGCCGGTCACTGGTCACTGGCTGCGTGAACTTGGCGGCCGGCACCCCCCTGCCCCCCCGCGTCCTCGGTCCTAGCCAACCGTGGGAACCCGTTACTGACGCGCTAAGATGACTGCCTGTTCTCAGGTGTATGGAGAGGAGCTATAGAGAGCACGGATTACAGAAGATCAAAGGTGTGACTCACACCCTGGGAGGCCCAGACTATTGCAAGGTGAAGTCAAAGACTCATTAGTTAGATGTTCTCCCCTTCTAAGAGAAGGAAAAAAGGAAGGTTGGCCATGACCTTAAAGCATGTGCCTTTGTGGAGGGACAAAGGGAAGCAGGCTCTCAGAAGGGACGGTGCTGCACTCAGACCCGGGAGCGTCCTGCCATCATTCTTGAACCCTGGGCCACATTTCCAACAGCCTGGACCTGACAGCCTCCCAGAGTCAGTTTGTTTGCAGGTGAGCTGCTGCCAAAGCTTTCTCCTGGTCCGCGGAGCAGGTGTCACAGCGGTGAGGAGCAGGCCCGGGAGGTGAGCAGGTGTTACCTGTGTGAGGAGCATCGCAGGAGAGGGAGCAGCATGCTAGAGACCGCCCCCTCCTGGACAAAGGCGTCCTTTTACCACAGGGGCAGCTCCTGCTCCTTGGGATCAAGCTCTCCTTAGTGATGGGCGACCAAAGCCCAGGCAGCACAGAGACAGCCTCCTGCGTGGTCTTCTCGCTGGGTGCAGGTGTTTTTGGGGTGGCTGAGAAGTGGCAGGGAGACGCATGCAGACGTGTGCCCATGTGAAAGGCGAAGGTGAGGCACTTCCTCCCGGGCTGGAAGAGCCTGTCTTGCTTTATCAACCAAACAGAATCAGAGGCTTAAGGCCCTGGTATCTGCCTTCTCTCTGTACTCCCTCAACCCCCTCCTAAACAGGGCTCAGAGCCACATCCAGCTAGACGTTGTATAAACTGCTTAGTGAAGACGAGGCATTGAAGCGGGACTACACGAGTGCGTTTTTATATACTGTATATTCAAAGCTGTGTAATGGAGTGTGTATGGTTCTCAGTACAATTTGTGGGTTTCGTTGTTTTCACAAAGCCGTTCTGTTGACACCGAAGAATCGCGAGGAGAACCTGTTGAAGGAAGGAGAAGAGGGAGCTGTCTGGGAGTGGGCAGAGCCCCCAGTGGCTGTAGGAAAGCTTCTGGCAGCCCTGGTGGCTCCTGGGCGCTGGCTACCACAGCTTCTTCTGTCAGGATGTGCACGCCGCAGCTCAAAACAGGCCAAAGCACGCCCGTCGACCACCACGGTTGGCCGCTTTCCATTGAGAATGTACGGATGAAGGAGCAATCCTTTTATACAGATGAGTAATGATGACATCAAACTTTTGTTGATTAGCTTTATGCCTCTATGTATAGGGAATTGATTACTTGGTGATCAGTTAACTATCTCATGATGGGTAGTAGATGTGCTAGGAAATAACTCTTTCCTTTTTGGGGACCCCCATTAGATTGAGATGGCTGCAATCCATGTTACAGGATTAACAACGGTTGGCAAGTAAAAAGCCCTCCATCCTCCCGCAGGGCCAGGGGGTGCCCATGCCAGCCCTTGCCTCCTCCGGAGGGCGCTTTGCCAGGGCCCATTTCCCCTGCAGTGCCTCTAGGTTTCTCCCTCATGCTTAAGATGTTCCATTAAGTTGTAAGTCTTTTTGTTCTTAATATCCCAGTAGAAATGAGTAAAAAAGAGGTTGACTTTTTTTTTTTTTTTGAAACAAAGTTTTTTTTCTTTGAAAAAGTGTGTTAACAGGTATAAAGAGAATACGCTTCTCCAGCTTGAAAGGGAAGAAATGTGTTTATTCTCGAATCGATGGCCCTGAAAGCTACTGTCAAGACTTCAGTGAGGACTTTGAACTCAAGATTTAAGGTTTTTTGAAAAGGGTCTGACACGGGAAGCCCACTGACACTACAGATCAGCCAGCGGGAACCTTCTATTCAGGAAATCGGATTTCTATTGCACTGCTTACCTTCCCGCCTTCCAGAAGAATCAACACGGGAGAGTCTTCAGATATACAGAAGTTGGTGAAGAACAAGGACAAAATAAAGTCAAAGTGTTAAACCATCCACCTTAGATGGTTATAAGCTACACGTTCTCAAGCATAGGTTCTCTGACTGCTGCAATGGGTGCAAAAGGAGGACATTTTCTGCCAGTAGATAGGGTTCTCTGCTGTGGAATCAGGACAAAGGGAGACAGCTCTCCTGCTTTTAACACCGGAAACAACAAACAAAACGCAAAAGCAAACACATCCTAAAGACACTGTTGACGGGCGCTATGAATGTCAATATCCTTGTTACAAAAATAGCTTCACAAGCCAATAAAGGGCTGAAGCTTCTCATTGGAAAATGGGCAAAGAACAGGACTAGATAATGCACAAGATAATAAATACAAATGAACAATTACTGTTCTTGAATGTTCAACTTCAGTGATAATTAAAAGATAATTTTGCATATCGTATTAGTGAAACAGTTTTGGAAATGTAGTAAATCAGTCTGGGAACAGGCTTGGGAAAGAGGCCCCTCGTAGCTCGCACACTGAAGACTGCCCCGTCCTTCCCATGCTATGCCCGTAACCCCTGACCCAGCTCCTTCACTTAGGCGCAGCTGTGAGAAAGATGCAGCAGAAAGGAGCTTATACGTATTTCTATGTATAATTACAATCTAAATGTTTCAAAACAACAGCTTAGTTAAGTAAAATCTATATCCTCTCTAATAAAAGAGAAACATGCAAATTGACCGTACCTTCGCTACAACCACAAGCCACGCCCACCAACCAGTGTGAGTATGCAAATTAACCCAACCAAGATGGCAGTTAATTTGCATATTTAAGCCAGAGCGAAGACTGAAGACAGCGTAGAAAGAAGCCAAGCGCTGCAGAAGGGAGCAAAGCTGCGGAGAAGCAAGCAAGCAAGCAGGGCGGGGAGAAGGCGGGACAGGGAGAAGGGAGGGAAGCAGGCGGGGCAGCGGAGACTGTAGCAGGAAGCCCTATTGCATAAATCTTCCTGCGAGGGGTCTCTAGAAACCATATAAAGGAAAATTGTGAAGTTATTAGAGTCATCTGATAGAATAATCCTATCTAATAAAAGAGTAATGTGTAAATTGATCATCACTCTAACACACAAGATGGCTGCCCCCATGTGGTCAAAGATGGCTGCCCTCATGTGTACACAAGATGGCCACCACAAGATGGTCTGCAGGGGAGGGCAGTTAGGAGGGACCAGGCCTGCAAGGGAGGGTAGTTGTGGGCAATCAGGCCAGCAAGGGAGGGCAGTTGGGAGGGACTAAGCCTGCAAGGGAGGCAGATGGGGGAGATTAAGCCTGCAGGAGAGCAGTTAGGGGGTGATCAGGCTGGCAGGAAGAAGCAGTTAGGGGCAATCAGGAAGGCAGGCTGTCGAGTAGTTGGGAGCCAGCAGTCCTGGATTGTGAGAGGGATGTCTGACTGCCTGTTTAGTCAGGCCTAAATGGGCAGTTGGACATTCCTCGAGGGATCTCAGATTGAAGAGAGGGCAGGCTGGGCTGAGGCACACACACCCCCGTGCATGAATTTCATGCATCGGGCCTCTAGTATTTTAATAATAGGAAAATGTTTATAAGATGCAGGTGAGTAAAGAAGTAGGTGATAAAGCACACTTTCACTATCATCTCATTTTACAGGGTACAGTTTAAACAGAAAATACTGGACATTTCTATAGTCAGATGCTAACAGGAAAGACTATCTTTTCCATAGGCATATATAGACATAGGGTTTCATTCCACTGAAAAACAGTTTTGCACTGCTTATTACAACATTGTGAATATACTTTGCATATTTCCCTAGAAGTGTTCTTCTTCATAAGGCTGACTTCATGTGTGTTTAATGTAGCAGAGTTCAAATGTCTTCCTTATTCTTTCTCAATATTTTCTTGATTATTATTAACCATCCACATTTTGAGATAAACTTTAATTTGGTCAGGTTAAAAATATGCTTGGTGTTTTGCTAAAATTTCTAGTAAATTTAGAGAAGGTTTCAGGGGAAATGATCCTCTTTACTTCTGACTGAATATTTCCATTAGAAGTAAATATCCCTTCAATTTTTCTTATTTTTAATTAGGTTCCTTAGAAGGCTTTGTAGTGTTTTTTCTTGTAGATTTTGCATAGTTTTGTGAGATTTACTCAAAGGAATTTTTGATTTTGTTATTATTTGTGTAAGATCATTTTATCCCAATGAAGTCTCTAAAAGTATTGACAATAAATACATAAAATCAAATGATTTTTGTATATTTGTAACTGTGAACTTACTTAATTCCCTCACTGGTTCTAATTGTGTTTGAGCAAGTTCGGTTGGCTTCTGTCCTATATAATAAAAGGCTAATATGCAAAACAACCGAACTGTGGAATGACCAGTCACTATGACATGCACTGACCACCAGGGGCAGATGCTCAAAGCAGGAGAAGCCCTCTGGTGGTCAGTGCACTCCCACAGGGAGAGCACCGTTCAGCCAGAAGCCAGGCTCACAGCTAGTGAGCACAGCAGTGGTGGCTCTCCCACCTCCTTAGCAACATTAAGGATGTCCATCTGCCAGCTTAGGCCCACTCCTCGCTGTCAATCAGGCATCCCCTTGAGGGCTCCCGAACTACAAGAGAGTGCAGGATGGGCTGAGGGATCCCCCACCCCCAAGTTCATAATTTTGTGCACCGGGCCCCTAGTAAGTAATATAAAAAAATGCTAAATTGATCTTTGCTTTCTAATATTTCTTTTTGGTCACATGGACAGGGGTCACATTTTCTAAAAGAAAACATAGTGTCATGCTGAGGGTGGGTGGGCACTTTTGTTTTCTAATCATTCTTATTTATTCTTCTCAAATACTTTATTTTTATTTTATTGCATAAACTTTTCCATCATCCAAAACAGACATTCTATATCCATTAAGCAAACACTCTCCATTTCTTCTTCCCTGGCCCTCACCGCCTAGTAACTTCTAACTCACTTCCTATGAATTGCCTACGATAGATGTCTTAAAGTATATTAAATATGACTTTTTTCTCAAGTTCAAATGTTTAATTAATATTTGAGATTACGTGCCCAACATCATATTAGTTGGATTACATTTTGCTGCTTTAGAGGCACTAACTATAATTTATCAAATTACAAAATAAAATAAACCAAAATGTTTTCAGACCAAATTTAGGTTTTGAAACCATAGAAATGTTTCTCCTTTTAAGACAGAACTCAACCGCTGTGCACAGCCAATCTGGGGACAATTAAAACATCACAGATTGAGCTCAGCGCATACAGACGCCGAGGGAGCCTCTGACAGCGGTTACGATGTTTTCTTTAATTCATTTCCCAGCAGGGTCACATCAAAGAGCATCCCTTTCCCTCCCCTCCCTTTCTTCCTTACCGACAAGAACATGTTCTGATTTCAGGACCACAGAACACAATGCAGGATTTCATAAGCGTGTGTGGCCCTTCTTTTCATGACTGACTTAAGGATGAAAGCACCCTGTTATCTAAAGGGTCTCAACATACCGGACCCAACACGGCCGATTGGGAACGCACACAGAGGACCCCAAAGAACAGTGCCAACACCCGCTCCTCCCCCATCTCTGTCGGCCACGTGGGGTCTGGTGGCTCCGCGTGCACACTGAACACGATAACAGGAACCACAAGGAAACTTAGCGATACCCTGCCCCACCCCGGCCACTGGCTCAGTTCAGCTGGAAGGGTGTCAGAGGGCGTGACGGAGTGACCATTGCAGGAGGCAGCCAGCCTTGGCGCCATCTCAGAGGACAACCAATGACGCTGCTCCTGACACTGGCTCCACATCCCTCCCGCTGGAAGAGGGTGCCTACACTCGCCGCAGCCTTCCCCCAGGAGGAGTCAGCTATGAAGGTTAATATACACTGGCTCTCACCAGACAAAAACACTGAGAGCTCTGCTACAAAATGGAAAAATGGGCAAATGTACCAATTTCCCAGAAGGAGAGGTCCTTTTCTCCCAGAGAGAGAGCTGGAGCAACTGCACACCCCGAGCTGGAGCCGCTGTGAGGTTCAGTTCTGGGACTGATCAAGCAGGTGATGTGCTCCCAGGAACACAGTGGTGATTACAGGAGCCCATGAGCCAGCCAGCTCAGCTCTCACGTCTACACGTTTACTCAGTAGGGAGCTCACAAACAGCTGCATCAGCACACCCTGGCAGGCGGGCTGCGGAAGGGCGGAAAGCTTGACGTGTCCTTCTGGGACTGTGACCCATCGGATCCACGCACAGGCGCCACGGTCTGCTGTCCACCTGCCGAGGGATACGTAGCGACCTGTCCCTGACCCGGCCCACATCCCATCTCCATCTTTACTGTCATGTGGATGAGAGTGACAGCACACAAGTCTATCCACTCTATGACCCAGAGTTAGGAAGTCTGTAGCGACATGACCGTGAGGGAACACCAAAGAGGTAAAACACGTGGTGTTATAGCCATCGGAATGGGCACTGTGCTAACGGCCTCGGGTTATGGTGTGCTAATGCTCGCGTCCTGTGTGGGCAGCTGCTTTCTCACTCCGAGAGAGGAAAGAATCGGTGTTGGCGAATGGTAAGCTGAGCTCTGGTTTGCTGAGCCCATGGCCTGTGCTCAGAGTGGCCGGACTCCACTTCCTCCCAGCATCCTTCTCACCAGGCTCAGACCGAGGCAGGAGACTCGTGCAGATCTGCACTCTCTCGCAGCCTTTGAGCAAGCGGACTAGATGCCTGCTGAATCCTGAGCTCACAGAGCTCGTCTGGAAGAAGGGGGTCATCGTGAGGGGCTGGGTGTGCGGGCACCTTCTGAGAAGCTGGGGCACCGGTGGCAGTGCTTTCCCCGGCTGGGGCTCAGCCCGCACCAGGAAGCACCGAGACTCCCAGGGTGAGGTCTCAGCTGGTGTGACTACCAGCTGCTGCCATAGTCAAGACGATGGAGGTGACGATGGTGAGGACGATAGTGACCGTGATAACATTTATCACCCACCACGTGCTCCGTCTACTGAGAGCCTGGAAACGAGCTCATTAACCACCGACACAGCACAGGATGACACGCTATAGTCCCAATTTTATAAATGGAAACGTGGAACCTCGGGGTGGTTAACTGGCCAGACAGGCCTGGCAGAGGCATCCTCACCGTGTTAGTAACTTCTGAAATACTTGGAAACAAAGTGCACATGCACAAATTAAGTCAGCAGGATGAGAGGCACTTCCCAACGCTGAGAGAAGTTAAGTTGTCTGAGGAAAGTACTGTAGTCAAGTAGATGTGTGAGGACAGTGAACAGGGGAACGCGGCCACAGCAGTGTGACAGCTGGTTACTGATTCGTGGCAATGGAGGGCGGGGTTGGGGGGGGGGATAAGGGGGAAAGAGAAGCACATCCTGACCCGTGTGACTGGGAACATTCCCAAGCTCAGTCTTGTTCCCTGCGGTGAGTCAGTATTCTCCCAGTATGGGTGGATCCACTGGGAGACTGTGGATGTGTGGCCCCCGGTGCCAATTTAATGAACCCCGCCCCCCCAAAATCAGGAGCATCCTCTGTCTGTGGTCTCATGGCATCATTGGCGAGTGGTCCTTGGCCGCCCACTTACTTTTGATGGGGATGATGAGCTGCGGGATGACGGGCAGGATCTTGTTCCCGCCGTGCTCCAGCATGTCGTGGATGCCCTGCCGTGCGAAGAACTCATAGGGAAAGGTCATCTCGCAGAGCCCGTCGAAGAACAGGGGCAGGTAGTGGTGGTAGTCCAGCTTCTCAATCTCCACCTGCGGGGACAGAGGGCAGGCGCCTGAGCACTGCGCGGGCAGGGCCAGCAGCCGCGGTCCCGGCTCAGGGCGCGCCGGCTCTGCGGCCTCCGGGGCCGGGCCCACAGCTGCTCCGGGGCCTGGCCTCCAGGCGCGGTAGGTTAGCATACAGGCCTGTCCACCGTGACAGGTCAGAGTCATAAACAATCCAGCCTGAATGCATGTTAGTGCTTGTTTCAGGTGTGTTTGTTATTTTGGTTAGTTCTTCTTTCTTTATCGTTTTGCACAAATGCCAAGTTGAAAAGAATGTAAGAATCTTGTAGTATGTATGCTGAAAATATAGGTGCAAAAATAAATCAGAAAAGAGAAGAAAGTAGAAAAGAGATGAGCATCCGGATCTCTAACAAGAACCTATAGGTGAGGGGTGCACATAACATATTCTTGTGACCACGAGAGTGAGGGTGGAGCATGACCCCATGGCTGTCCCCGGAGCCTCAGTGACAGGGTGCCGGTGTCATCAAGAAGAAGTGAGAGACCCGCAGTGGGCCGACCTGGAACAGGCCATGGGCACCTCAAGTCAAAATACCAGCAATTCCTCCTCAGCTTCTAGAACAGACCACCCCTTATCCCCCCATGTCCCCCTGGCCTCCTGGCCTGGCCTTTGCAACAGTCCCAGCCCGACAGGAGACGGGCAGCTACAGCCACGGAGCCGAGAAGAGCGAGGGTGTGTTGGGATGTGCTCACATGTGGGAGCTCTGTCCTATCCGCATCCTCCCTAGAGTATCTACCCAGGACCTGACTGGCCACCCACCAGGCAACAGGAGTGAGGCTGATGTCACGGAGGGAAGAAGCCCGCAGACTCAGACGTGGGTACAACCCACTCCCAGAGCAAAAGATGCCGCATCCCTAGGAAGTGGGTTCCTCATTCCAGGCCCTTGGGAATGTCCCAGCGTCCAATGATCGCCTTATAATTAGCGAGGAGCCCGTCAGCACCATGGAGAAGGCCCCTTTACATTAGCAGGTGGTTACACCCCCAGCTCCCTCTCAGCTGGAAGGTTCTGGAGTCTCGGGCTACGTGACTGCCTGCTGCTGGGTTTGAGTAACTGGCAGCCACTGCACGCTGCTCCTGAGTGTCCACTGTGAGTGTCAGTTAATCAGATGGTCTCCAGTCCTCAAGTGAGAGGACTGTCTCCAGCCTGCTCATGACCTTGACCCTCCCAGCCCACCGAGGAAGCAAGCAGTCCATTCCCAAGGTTCCCCTGGCCCCTGGCAGTGGGGCGTGGAAAATGAACCCCACGTGGAGCGTGTACAGACTTCAATTTTATTCTACATTCCTGTATACTCATGACATTTGCTTTATTCGGAGTAAAAATATATGGAATATATGCCCAATACCTGTTTTCTCAAGGATATTTGAAAATATTATAGAACATTATTTTGTACAATTAAAAAAAAATGCATTGCTACTTCATTTAGCTCCCAATATATATAACAAGGTTATCTTTAATTTTACCTTCATAATAAAAGTGTCCTGGGTACTATATTGCTATCTATGTTTTACTAATTCTCTTTCTTTTTGCTTATGTTGGCATTTTATGTCTTTCATAAATAACAAATCATTGACTTTTTAATTTAAATAGAGGCCCAGTGCACAAAATTTGTGCATGGGATGGTGGGGGTAAGGGTAAGGGGGAGTCCCTCAGCTTGGCCTGCACCTTCTCACTATCCAGGACTGCTGGCTTCTAACCACCTGCCTGCCTGCCTGATTGTCCCTAACTGCTCTCCTGCCTGCCTGATCACCTTTAACTGTCTCTGCCTTGGCCTCTCCCGCCATGACTTCGTCCAGAAGGACATCCAGACGGTCATTTGGCTGACTAGTCTAATTAGCATATTATACTTTTATTATTATAGATGTGTTTTAAGGCTTTTTAAATGCATTGTCACACACATTTATGTCTATAACTAGTTTCACATCTGTCATCTGATTTTTTCATCTCTGGTTGTTGTTTTTCATTTAATCTTTACTGTCTATTTTGAGTTTTGAATGTTTTATTTACACTTTTTGGAATTATTTCAAAGATAAGGCAGCCTGTTTGAATATTTTATTGCAACTATCTCACAGCTTTCTCAAACACTTTAAAAACATATTTATCTTGCCTTGAGAAGCAAGTTAAAAGTCTCCTAGTTAGATTGTTGACATGTCAAGTTTTCCTTGGAATTCTGTTAATTTCTTTTTCCTTGTGTGGTTTGAGGCAACAACACTAACGACGTCAATAACGACAACAACAAAAATGCCAATGTTTGTCAGCCAGACACTGCTGTAGATACTTGTGTGTGTGCATTTATTTAATCCTCATGAGGAGTAAGAGGTAGGCATTACACTGTCCCGATTTTCAGCCTGAGGAAGCTGAGCCCACAGGGCCTGCAGCTGGTCCGTCCTGGGGCTGTCTTCACACCTGGGGCTGTCTCTCAGGCAATGTTGTTAGGCACATGGAGGTTCGGTATTGTTATAAGCTTCTGGTGAACTGTTCCCTATTCTTCATCTTTGTCATCATCAATGCAGTTTGTTCCCATCAGATCTAATATAAATATTGCCGTAACTTGCTTGCCCTTCATCTCATTTTATTTTCTTCCCCTTCATTGTGTTGAAAGAGTGGCTCTTTTACTCAGCTTAGAGCGACGGTTGTGAGTTCCTCCCATTTTAAAAGATGTCTTCAGAAAACAAACATTGGGTGCGCACAGGACTCTTATTCTCAAGGGTTTTGAAAAAAATAAAAGCGATAGGAGAAAGGATGAAGGGAGAGAGAAGAGGGAACAATTGAGAGACAGTGAATTGAATAAAAGACTGAGTGTGAGAGAGAAGGCCAAAATGACCTCCATCCTTAATGCTCAGCTCCCTGCCCCCAGCGACCTCTCCTGCCCACACTTGTCTTTTGAGAGGGCCTGTCCGGCCTGTGCCTCAGTGCTGTGGCTGTCTGTGCTCCCTGCATCTCTGCTGCCCTAACCCAAATTTCTAACTCAGCTAATTTTGGGGAGGAAAGACTTGCCGTTGCATTCTGAGGCCACAGACTTCTTTAAACCCTGTAGACGATGTTCTGATGGTGACAGGCTGGCATTCTTATGCGGAACTCTGTCTTCTCCTTGCCCGTGGGCTAGGGTCCCATTCCTATTGCTATAAAATTGTTTCAGTTGATGAATTTGGCCCAGGGCTGGGGAACCCATTTGCAAAGGGAGCTGATGCATTTTTCATTTTCTGACGAATTCCACCACCTCCTGCTCCCTCTCACCAGTTCCCACAGGAAGGTGTCGGTGGGCCCTCATGCCCATGCTCTCTCCACCGGCCCCTTCCTTTCGCTGCAGGCCCTTTGCCCACGTCGCCAGTGACTTCACGTTGCCAATGACCTTCACATCGCCAGTGACCTTCACATCGCCTCAGGCTGCAGTTCCTTTCCTGTTCTCATCAGCCTCCTGACATCCCCACCCATACCCCCCAAACCAGGGGTCAGCCATGATTGCCTTGCTTCAAATCCTGCAGCAACTCCAAGCAAGTCCTCGTTGCACCTGCAGCCCACACTTTGCTCTCCATCGGCTTCGTCCCAGCCGGCTTGCTTTACCTGGTCACCGCCACCGCCCTGACCGAGCTCCCCGCTCCGACGGGTGCCTCCCTGCATCCCTCCCCACTCTGCTGGCTCTGACCGCTGTGGCTCCAACTGCAGTCCCCGCGGGGCGTGCCTGTCCCTCTGCTCCGCGCGTCCTCCTGCTCTGGAGACACTGTGCCTCTGTCCCCAGGCCAGCCTGGCCTCGCTGGCTCCTCCTGCAGCTTTGGGCACACTGCCCCCTTGCCCTGCGGACCCTGAGTGGCTGGCACTGCTTTAAACTAGATTCCAGCTCAGCCCCCAGCCTGCTGCCTCTCGGGCGGTTCTATGCAGCCCTGGGCGTTCATTCATTGCAGTGCGCAGTTCTATTCGGGGCCTGTCACTACTGGAAGGTGTCTGTACTGACAGGTGACGGCTCAGGAGGCGTGTGCTGGGTTTTAATCCTGACCTTCTGAGTCCGCGCTGGGAGCTCCGAGGGGCATGCTCAGCAGGAGCTCCAGGGGGCACGTGGCCCTCTCCAGCGGCGGCTGGGACCACAGAGCAGGCCACGGCCCTGGGCTCACACTGACCAGGGGCACGAAGGGGTGTGCGCGTCCTTAAACTTATGGATTCCATACATTTATGTGTGCTACAAAGACGACACCATGTTTTTCTCCATCAGGATCACAGTGATGTGTCCCTTCCGGAATTTTGTGAGTATTTACTGGAGGGCCAGAATGGGCTCCGTGGTGCTCCCATTGACCCTCCTCTCACTGGAAATCACTGAGGGCTCCAATTTTTAAAAAATATATATTTTTACTGACTTCAGAGAGGAAGAGAGAGAGATAGAAACATCAATGATGAGAGAGAATCATTGATCGGCTGCTTCCTGCACGCCCCCCATTGGGGATAGAACCTGCAACCCAGGCTTATATCCTTGACCAGAATCAAACCTGGGACCCTCAGTCTGCAGGCCGATGCTCTGTCCACTGATCCAGACCAGCGAGGGCTGAGGACTTAATTTTTATTGTTTACTTTTAAAACTTCAGGAGGAAAAGTTTCTGTTTTTTATGGTAGTATGGAAAGCAAACATAAATACAGGCCCATAAATAATATATTAATTCTAACAATATAAATCTTTTTATTTTTTATTTTTTATATATATATTTTATTGATTTTTTTACAGAGAGGAGGAGAGAGGGATAGAGAGCTAGAAACGTCGATGAGAGAGAAACATCGACCAGCTGCCTCTTGCACACCCCCTACCGGGGATGTGCCCGCAACCAAGGTGCATGCCCTTGATCGGAATCGAACCTGGGACCTTTCAGTCCGCAGACGGACGCTCTACCACTGAGCCAAACCAGTTTCGGTTAAATCTTTTTATTTTTGTTGTTTTATTTAACCCTCAGCGGAGAGGAAGGGGGAGAGGGAGAGAGGGAAACATGG